GCGCCGACAGAAGCGCGCTGTAACGTAACCCTAAACCTAACCCTAAACCTAACCGTAAATCTTACCTTAAATTAAATCGCGCTGTTGTCGGCGCGCTGTTGTCGGCGCACTTATGATGTTCGCGCTTTTGTCGGGTCACACATTTAGCCATCTGCGCTAACTCCGCTTTTGCTCTGGCAATAATGGACGTTTTCTTGGTTCCGCAGGAAGCTGAAAGCAGATGTGGCCCAAAAGATCATTGAAGTGGAGGAAAAGATCTCTACGGTGGCAAACGAAAGCAGCGCCGTGGAGGCTGAGCTGACGGCGTTGGAGGCAGACGCCAAGAGCTTACACAACGCTGTGAAAGAACTTGGGGAACAGCTGGAGTTCATAAAAATCTCGGACGTCCGAGGTTAGTACAGTTAGAGCTCAAGGAAGTTTGGCGGGGGGGAGAGGGGGGTAAACATCTGGCTTTTCATAAGGAAGGAAACTGTGGGAGGGAACCTCAAACAAATACATTTCATGAACGTTGAACAGAATCGAACCCAGACGAAAGGTTTTAGGGAGGATCTGCGGGGGAAATATTTTAAATAATAAAAAAATCATGTGGATTTCGGAGGGGCAAGCTTAAGTGGGCTTCATTGGCCATGCTTCATTGTGCCTGCATCGTGCATTTAATTTCATAAGACAGCTATTGCAAACGTTAAGTAATTCCTTTGTTTAGTGACCGGTTCGAAGTTATAACAGCACTGAAAAAAGTGACTTACGACCATGTTTCACACTTATGGCTGTTGTGGTGTTTTGTCAGGACAAGGAATCCGCTTCGTGATTTGGTGATGCCCAGGTCAGAACGGAAATGTCGTAACATGGGGCAAACTCACTCTAATAACTGTCTCGCTTAGCAACAGAAATTTGGGGCTCCCTTGGGGTCATAAGTCAAGGATTACCTGTATTAATGTCGTAAGGCCAGATCAGACATGGATGCTCAACCAGTTTCCCTTCTGATAGGTGCCTTGGATAGCATCACCAAATATTTCCAGATGTCTCTGGATGCGGAAAAAAGAGCCAACGCATCAGTTTTGCTTCCCGGCAGCCTCATTGAACAGTCCGCCGAAATGCGCCTGGAAGTGGAGAGTCTGATCAACGAGACGGCGGCCACCTTCCAGGCTACACAGGAAGAACAGTCCCGTCTCTTGGACGAACTGGCGGGCAAGCTGCAAAGTCTCGATTTGGCCGAAGTGTCGGAGAAGGTAGGCACCTCACGAAGGCCGTAGCTGAGCTTGGATGAAGGCGAAGAGTTTGCGAAGGTGTTGCGGCCCGCCGGCGGCCAGTGGAGTTGGCTGTAGAGTCAGATAGTGAAGCGGTTGGGGAGGAACATGGGCCAGTCCTGGAGTCTGGGGAAGGCTCTGAGGAGGGCTCTGTGTCGGAAGCAGAGAGGGGGGACAGGGCCGTCTGACAGTTATCAGCTGCCTTCGGAGTCAGACGTCAGTGAGGCAGAGGAACAGCTGGAGCCTGTTTCCCAGTGTACGGAGCTGGCGGCAGATTCGGACAGTGAGGAGGTAGAGGAGGAAGATGGGCCAGTCCTGGAGTCTGGGGAAGGCTCTGAGGAGGGCTCTGTGTCGGAGGCAGAGAGGGGGCCGGGGCCGTCTGACAGTTATCAGCTGCCTTCGGAGTCAGACGTCAGTGAGGCAGAGGAACAGCTGGAGCCTGTTCCCAGTGTGAGCATGCGAGAAGGCCACACTTTCCATGGCCACGCCCACCCAGCAACTGGGCAGAGAACCAGTTGCTAAAAGTTTTCAACCCCCACTCCTGCTTTAAGGAATGTCTCGCTTACTCACAGAAATCTTGGGTTCAATTGTGGTAAGTCGAAGGCTACCTGGATTGATCTGAGAGTCTTTGGATCCTCTGCTCATTTTAACAGCAAGAATTATTTTAAGAAATTTAAAACAATATTACTGAAAAGCAGAACTGAACCAGCGAGCGTTCATCAAATCCTTAGCATTATACCAAGAAACCTGATCAGACGAGGATTATCTCCTCCGGTGCCAAAATACATTCCAGAGATGCAGCATTTCAGCAGGTAAGACCTTACCCCCC